AAATCGATGTCTTTTAGGCAAATATTCAATTTTAACGACGTTTCTCCAGCGCAAATAAGTGGGTCCATCCATCCATCCATCTATCTATTTATTTATTTATTCAAAAAAGAGGAACTGATATTTGAAACATAAAGATTCTTCTGTCTAAGCAAACATTGCCAGTAAGGAAACCAATGTTTAGAAATACTTTAACCTCAGTAATAAACTTTTGCAAAATTGTTCGTTTATATCTCTCTCTCTCTCTCTGTTTCTCTCTCTCTCTCTCTTTGTGTGTGGGTGTGTCTTTCTTTTGATATTGTACATACATCATTCTTTCTTCTCTTTCATTTTTCTGTTTCATTCTATTTTCCCCCTCTTTCTCTCCATATTTTCTCTCTCTCTCTCTCACTCTCTATCTTTCTCATTATATTTGATCACAAATATTAATCAACTGCTATGATATAATATGATTCTGACGGTGAATTAATTAGTGTTAATTATCTAGTGCAGAAATAACTGCAGACGCCTGGCTGTATTGTGTTGTATGGAGTGGGAAGGTATGTATGGTACTGTTCGTTTATTATGTTGTAATACATTGTATTGTTTGGTATTGTATTGTATCGCAGTTTAGGGTTTGGTATTGTATTGTATTGTATTGTATTGTATTTTATTATGTTGTAGTAACAGGGTTCACACCCAAAGAGTGTGTTTGTGTGCGTGCGTGTGTGCGTGCGTGTGCGTGTGTGTGACTGTGCATGCAGATGTTGTATTTATATACAAGAGAACCTCATTAATATTAAGACTTTTTTGGGAGAGAGAACATTTTTTGTTTCTATTTCATTTTGATGTTTTTTTTTCTGACAAAGAATTCACTCGTCACTGTATGTGTGTGTGTGTGTGTGTGTGTGTGTGTGTGTGTGTGTGTGTGTGTGTGTGTGTGTGTGTGTGTGGGGAGGGGGAAATTAAAGTACATCTCAATGGCGTATATGTGCATGTTATACAAGTACCGATATATTCATGATTACATGTGTGGGTGATATGTTTATACATGTTTTAAACTATGGCTACTATATATGTATATAGCGAGTTACTATGGCAATTACTTATTCATTTCTACTTTTATACTGATATGCCATTTTCTAAATGTCATCCTAATGGCATTTTCAATTTCCTTAGTCGAAGTTTTCTTCGGAAGGGTTTTGTCTATTTTTTATTCTTTCATTTAGAAATGCTTTAATAGGAACAAAATTTTTTTTTCCAGCAAACAGGCTTCCAAAGTTTTTTTAACTGTATAAATTTTTATTACTATTTATTTTTATTATATTTATTATTTATGTTATTAATTATTATTATCCTTTCTCAGATTGAGAGATTGAGTCCGTTGAAAAAAAATAAATTTCGTGTTTTGTGTTGCGTTTGGCCATTTATTTTTATTTTAAAATTATTGTAATTACATGTTCAAAAAATTATTTTTTCATTTTTTCCTGTATAAATATGCGCGCATGTTAAAAAGCAATACGTTTTTTTACATGTAAATAGAATTGCGTGTTATAAAACAGTACTTTTTCTTACTCGTAAACAAACAGCTGTGCATGTTAGGGAGCAATTAGGTCTGAATGATGTGTATGCCGTGTCGCTGTATGTCCGGTTAATGATTGTAATAAAAAATTTCGAAACATTCATCTGGGTCACATTTTAAAGTTTTGTATATCTATGTTTCGTGTTTCGCAGTTTTTCTTTTTTTTCTATAATGTCTTGAATGGAAAACCCCATTGTAGAATGTGTTGTTTTTTAATGATTAGACTGTCTGGCTCAATAATGTTTCAGTTTTTTGGCAGAATGCATGGACGTTGGATGGGTTTGCTAGATTTGTTCAAAACTTCTTTCAATTTGAAAACATTCTACTCTCGTCATCCGGTTCAACCATTCGATAAATAATATTAAATCCTTGTGTGTATATTCATGAACAGCACCGAACAATCGAACTCAAAATTTTTTTTACAGTTCATGGGAAAAAGAATTTGATAGAGAGAAATACAAAAAGAGAGAGAAAGAGAGAGAGAGAGAGAGAGAGAGAGGCCATAGAGAGATGGATAAAGAAAAAATGATAGAGAGAGAGAGAGAGAGAGAGAGAGAGAGAGAGCAATATATTTTTCAAACTTAAGCGGCAATACATTTTCAAACTCAAATGTCGTCTGTTTGTTTGTTTGATGCTAAATGCATTAAAATACGTAATTGGAGAATTACTGAATTGGTGAATTACTGAATTGGTGAACTACTGAATTGGTGAATTACTGAATTGACAAATTACTGAATTGACGAATTACTGAATTGGTGAATTACTGTTTTTTTGTTTGTTTTTGAAATTTCAAAAATTAATTTTTTTTAAATGTTTCAGAATTTAAAATCGGTGAATACAAATTTTTACTGGATTCCTCAGATGTTTCTGTGTATGATATGATGTGCTTGCATGCCTGCATATAAAATAAATCTGTGTGTAGTGCGGGCGAACTTTATAATCAAGCATTCACACGTACACATCACACACACACATCTCACGCACGCACGCGCACACACACACACACGCACACGTCACGACATAGTTCGATCCACGCTAGCGCTCTTTAGATTTATTAAAGGAAAAATTTTCTACGTAGTATTGAATAATAAAAAATTATTCTTTTGGCGTATTTTTAGTTTGAAGTTTCCTGAAATTTGATGTAATGTGATTGATGATGGTTTTGGGATTATCGAGCAAAATGATTGATGTGTTTTTGTTTTTGGCTTTTTTCTGTTCCATTTGTGACCTATTTTTGCTCATTTTAATTATTGTTCTCTGACCATTTTTAATTTGAAGTTCACGAATGATTAACATCTGAATGAATTAATATTGATTTTTTCGGATTTTTTTCACTCTATAGTTTTTTTTTTATTTGATCTTAGCCTATTCGACGGATACTATTACATAACATGGGTCGGCAGTGACCCGTCCGTAGCGTCATCGCTAGTAAAATGCAAAAATAAGCATTTCATAGAAAGCTTACGCCATCCATTTCGTTATCGCTTTTAAAACTGGTACACTAAATACAAAATAACTACTAGCGCGCAATGAAAATAACGTGTTTGTTTGTATATATGTTCTTATCATAGCAGCATGTTTGTTTTTGTTCACCGTATGCGTATTGAGTGTGTGTACAAACAAAACAAAAACGAATTCTACACGTCTAGGTAGCTGTTCATGAGGGAGAAGATGTTGGCAGATAACGGCAGGGCTATTATACCACCCCCACACCGCCGAAGAATGAAAAATTGACTGAGCGAATGGATGAATGATCGAACGATTGAATGAATGAACAAAATTAAATACCATTAAAATTCAAGAAATGAAAAATCAATTAAATCTATACATGTTTAATGTGGGATGATGATGTGCAGTGAAATACGTGCGAATCAAAAAGTTAAAATTCAACCGAAATGAAATGAATGAATGAAAGTAATGTGTTTATTGGGACAAGAGGATAGTGTCCCTAACCTACCTATGTTAACTAAATTAACTCACTCGTGCACAATACGTTCCAATTATTCTGCCAAGTTTCACAATTACGAAGTAAGAAAGAGAAAGAAAGAAAAGGTAAGTTATTAAACAAACATTACAGTGGCAGAGAATTTAGTGTGTATGTGTTGTGGAATAGTTGGCGGAAATGACGTCATTTTATTATTAATCAACAACAAACTCCTTATTGAAAAATTTTTTCGTTCTTTTCCTTTTTTCGCATTCTTGAATATCTGTTAAAGAATGGAAAGACTTGATTTTGTAAAAAAAAAATTCAATACACTACAATAGAATACAGTACACACACACACACACACACACACACACACACACACACACACACACACACACAGACAGACATGTGTATATATATCCGCCCATGGCTTCTGCTTTCCTTTACATTGTTAAAGAAGTCCATTTGTTGTCGTTATATTTGATTGTCTAACTGTCTTGCGCCTGTCTGGCATAACAACCGTTTGCTGGGATTTTTTTTTTGGTATTTTTTTTTATTTTTGTGAGTTTTTCTCTGTTTTGGTTTTGTTTTATTTTATGATCGTTTATCTTTTTATTTTTTACGTTTTTTGATTTTTTTTTAATTTAAAGATTATTTTTTAGTAGTAGTAGTAGTAGTAGTAGTAGTAGTAGTAGCAGCAACTGTAGCTCTAATAGTTGTACCAGAAGAAACTGTCATAGTACTGTAAACTTTTAATTTACGTGAGAATTTGATTTGTAGATTTCAAGAAGTCAGTAATAAAATGTTACCAACCAGACGACTTCTTTACATAAGGTACTCAGGTTATTGTATAACATGCCGTATTTGTACGTAGTTTGTACGCATAAAATACCTGAAGTGCGTGTAAAATACCTTAGATGGAATGAGCTGTGGGCATGTCGTATTCATGATGACGTAATTTTATGACGAATAAAATTCATTTCATCGTTTAATACATTCTCCGCGTCCTTACAAATCATTTATATGATATTCATTCTCAGTACATTATGATGAAGCGGTTATAACATTAATTACTGTACTTAGTGAAAACCGATTCTGCAAATGAGTTTGTCACTGATACTACTAATGTCGCTACTTTTGTTACTACTACTACTGTCGCTGCTGCTACTACTACTACTGCAGCTGTTATTATTACTTTTCCATTACTACTTTCACTAGAAATAATACAACAGTACTACAACCACTACAAGTGGGATAATTATTTAAACTTTTCTATTGCTTCTGCAGCTGCTACTACTACGACCACCACTACTACCACTACTACTACTGCTACTACTACTACTACTACTACTACTACTACTACTACTACTAATAATAATAATAATAATAATAATAATAATAATAATAAGGATAATAATAATAATAAGGATAATAATAATAACAGGGATAATAATAATAATAAGGATAATAATAATAATAAAATGATAATAATAATAATAATAATAAAACGTCTAGGCAACCCCGGAAATGCTGATGAGGCACTTAATGGACAGAAACCTCCTCATGGACGTCAGTTACGTGCCAGATTTCTTGCTAACATACAGGACATTCTACAAACAGCCGGCCGATATCGCTCAGTACCTCACTGATTGTCTACAAGTTCCTGAAACTTTTGATAAGGTGTGTATATTATCTGTGTGTGTGTGTGTGTGTGCGTGTATGTGTGTGTGTGTCGTGTGGTGTGACGGTTTATTTGTGTTTTTGGTGTGAATGTCTTGTTTTTTCGCGGCTAGAACATTCTACGTCCTACAACAATTACACGATATCTCACTGATTGTTGCCTGATTGTATCTGAAACTTTTGGTGAGGTGTGTGTCTATCTATGTGTGTGTGTGTGTGTGTGTGTGTGTGTGTGTGTGTATGTGTGTGTGTTTGTATTATTATTATTATTGTTGTTGTTGTTGTCACCATTACCGTCATTAATGTCTTCCTAAGGCTTGAATCTCGCCTTTAAAAAAGTAAAAAAAATCAAGACAATTCTTTCATATTTAAATATGCTTTTAAGTTTTATGATTATATTATAAATAATAATTATAATTAATAATATTAATAATTAATATTAATAATAATAATATTATTATTATTATTATTTATTTATTTCTTTATTACAATTCTCTCTCAACAACGCATCACTCACGTTTCTTGCATGTGGTAGGCGGGGATCTTCTTGCATTCGAATCTGGTTACTGCAATAAAAGTGCCAGGCACTTTACCGCTACACCATCGCGCGCCGCCCATATATTTATAATTATATAACACATTTTATATCGGTGATAATTTTTGTTTTTTGGTATTTCTCATTCATAATGAATTTCTATTAGGTACATTCAAATATGACTCTTGCGTTTTGATTATTATTAATAACCTTTCTCATTACACACGCTAAAGATGGTTTCCTTAGTTTTTGTTGATGATGCTTTATATTGTGTGTGTGTGTGTGTCTGTCTGTGTGTTTGTCTGTCTGTATGTGTGTGTCTCTGTGTGTGTGTATGTGTGTGTGATGTGTGTTTGAACGTTTGCGTATATGTGTTAGATATATTTGTGAATGTGCGTGTATGTATGTTTTTGTGAATAAGTGCGCGTGTGTCTGTGAGTGAGGTCATATTTTTACATACAGCGTAATTACGTAACGCGCAATTACGTCATTACTTACGCCACGGATAGCGTTGTATCGCTATTGACGTCATCATCGCCGTCGAGTGTGTTCGTGATCTCTAATCATCATCGCCATCATGTCGTCATCACCATCGTTGGGAGTTTTCGTTGTCGTTGTTTCTTATCAAGCGTTTTAATTATGCTTTGTGAGATTTTGTAACTGTCGCTTTCATCATTTCATTGTCATCTTCATTTTATTTTTTGCTGTCCTAACTCTCAACATCATCATACAATTCATATTATCATTTCTCTCTCTCTCTCTCTCTCTCTCTTCTCTTTCTCTCTTCTCTCTCTTTTTCTCACTCTCTCTTTCTTTCTCTCTTTCAATCAAATGATCGAGTTTCCACGAAATGAAAAAATTTTTGTCATTCCGTAATACAAAGACGTCATCGTCGCATTCATTCATTCATGTCTTCAAGTCGGTCTGTTTGCGTGTGGTGGTGGTGTGTGTATTTGTGTGTGTGTGTGTGTGTGTGTGTATACGTGTGTGCGTGTGTATTTATACGTGTTTATACTACAATTATTATATTATCACTTTGTTATTATTATTTATTTATTATGTTATTATTACATCATTCGGGAACTCGGATGGATATATTTAAAAAAGAATTTTCTTTTCCGGGCTGTAACATCAATTTTCTATGAAAAATTTTAGTTGCTAAATAAAATTTTGTTTCGTATGTTTGTGTGTGTATGTGTATGTGTATGTGTGTGTGTGTATACGTGTGTGTGTGTATGCGTGTGTGTGTGTTTATGTGTGTGTAATTTATCATTCACTGCTTTTTGTTGTGTTTATTTATGCGTCGTTTGGCTGGTACATACTATATAGACATTTGATATTGTAATGAATGAATGAATGAATGAATGAAGGAATGAATGAATGAATGAAGGAATGAATGATGATGGTTTGGACGATGATGAAGAAAAGATGAGGATGGTTATAATGTTGAAAATGATGATATAGATAGATGATGGTGATAAAGATGGTGGTATTGATGATTATTATTATTATTATTATGATACAGACTATGATACAAATATCATGAGCTATAATAATGATACTGAAGATATAGATAATGACGAAAAAGGATGTGATATATAGACAAATGTTATCTTAGCAATGTTTTGGTTGCAAATTAAATAATGATCCCTGGCGGACAAACACAACACTGTTTGCCCGCAATGACAAAAAATCCATCTCTATAACGGTTTTATTGAATTTTTTTTTTTCTTCCATTTGGTTTTCTTCTTAGCTGAGCTGGTGTTGATTTTCGCCACATTCTTTAGCTCCTGACTTCATAATCGTTAGTGACGTCATCTTTAATGACATCATCTGCAACAACAATATCATCATTTGTAATTTTTTTTAACAAGTTTGAAGCTTTTTTAATGGAAATTTTGTTCTCTATTCACGCAACTCTCTCGCCAAATTTCCTACTTTGTTGATAATATCCCTTACCTAATTGCTTATTTTGTTGAATTTTTTATTCATTTTTTTCATTCCTCCGTTTATTTATTCATTCATTCATGCGTTCTTTCATTTGTTTAAATGTTCACTCATTCGTTCATTCATTTAACCAATTATTCACTCTTTCGTTCATTCACTCGTTCGTTCGTTCGTTCCGGATTTTCAAATGCTTAGGCACACATACATTTACATTAATAGGTGTGTGTAATTGTGTAATAGAGAGAGAGAGAGAAAGAGAGAGAGAGAGAGAAAGAAAAAGCATTTGTATGAGTGTAGTGTGTTTTCGTGTGTGTATTTGTGTGTGCATGTGTGTGTGTTTGTATCTTCTCTTTAATTCTCTTTGTTTCTATAAACTTTGCAGTTATATTTATCATGTGCATAGAAGTAATAGTAGTATAGAAGTAATAGAAGAAGAGGAAGTATCTATATATCCTTATACAAATTCACACGGACACGCAAACAAACAGTCATACATATACGCACGCACTCACACCTCACACAAACACACACACAAACATGCATTCCATAAATGTAATGGTTATTTGTGTGAATTCTAAATAATGCATGAATGTAAATAGCGTTTTTAAAGCTTGCCGTACAACTAATTATTTGGGATAATTGTGCTGCAGAGTGTTGTCGTTGTTGTTGCTGTCGTTGTTGTTGCTGCTGCTGCTGCTGCTGTTACTGATAATGATGAAGAAGAAGATGATGAAGATTATGAGGATGTTGTTTCGTTAACAATGGTAATATTGTTGTAGATGCGTTAGCTGCCATGTTATTCATCCTGTCGCGGGTGATGTTTATGATGATTTTGTTGATGTTGTTGTCATTTTTACTGTTATTAATAATAATGTTATTATTATTGTTGTTGTTATTATTATTAATTATATTATTATCGTTGTTATTGTTTTTCCGAAAGATTTAATGCCCTGGCATAGATTGCCATTTAAACCAACCAGCCGACCAGCCTTTATTCGACATTAATCACACGTGAGGTCCAGTTGTAAACATCAATTTGTCTTTCCATCTTATGGATGATAATATTAATGGGAACATTCTTTTATTTACCGAAGAACAAAATTCAAATGGAATCCATCGAAAATTGTTAATTAAATATTAGAGTGTGAATAAATAAAATATAAAATATAATTAATTATATATTAGAGTGTGAATAAATAAAATATAAAATATAATTAATTATATATTAGAGTGTGAATAAATAAAATATAAAATATAATTAATTATATATTAGAGTGTGAATAAATAAAATATAAAATATAATGTACGATCCCCTCATGCTCTTTGATCAACAAGTGTTTGAGAGTAAAAAAGATATATTTAAAATCGGTTAAATAGTGTTTCTGTCACAATATATATAGGCTATATGACGAGCTAATTACCGCGTTAATTAATAATAAATAATAATAACAACAACAACAACAATAATAATAATAAACAAACTAATTAATTAATTACGTAATTATAGCATAAATTTTAAGCTTACAAAAATGTTGTTTTTCCAAATTTTGCAGTTGCCAACCTTTCGCGATTATTTCTTTTTCGTAATATTTTTTTTATACAGTCGCGAAACTGTAGACGGCAGAGTATGGCGCTAATTTTTGGCCGCTGGTCAATTTTATTATCATTGTTATCTTTCATGAAAGAGAGAAGAAAGAGAGAGAATGAGAGCGAGAGAGAGAGAGAGAAAGAGGAGAAAGAGAGAGAGAGAGTTTTGACAGACTGTTGCAAACCAATCCAATTCACTTCATTCCATTATTTCTCCAAACTCATAGAGAGACAGCGTCTATAGATAGAGTTACGATAGTCGAGGTTGAATCCAAAAAGAGTCCTACCTCTATTACGTAGAGTTTGTTTCTTGGTACTTTCATTTGGAGCGCGCGTCCGTTCGATATTGATCTCTACTGGCGTTTAAGCTAGGTGGAGGCTGTATAACACCTGGAGGCACATGCAACTGCATCCTTTCATTAAGAAATGAGAGAATTTCTATTTAGTAACCCAAAAAAAATGATTTATTATTATTATTATTTATTATTATTATCATTAGTAAATTATTTATTTCGTTACCTTTTTGCATTTTCTTGGTATTTTCAATAGATTTTTTTAATACTTTTTGTTCGTGTCCATTCATACATCTGGAAATGTTCCAGTGATTTGTTTATTATCCAGAATTTTTTTACGCGTGGCCAAACACACATACGGACACACGCATACATACGGACACACGCACACATACACACGCGCACATACACACGCACATACGCACACACACACGAACGCGATAACGCTTGCGTCTTGCGACTCGAGATTAAATAGTATTGACATTTCTATTCTCCTTCCAAATGTTAAAGGATTAAGCCACTCACAAATACACACACACACACGCACACACACACGCACATACACACAAACAAACACGCACACGCACTTACATGCACGCACACATATGCACAGCGGCACGTGTGTGCACACATTTTTTAGTTAATGCTATTACTGATGTTATTTTGTCCGTAGTGTTTTATAGATGTTTTTCGTTTTTTTTAATCATGGTATGCAAAACAAATCTATATTCTTGATATTTTTTCATATTCAAAAATTACAAAAATGGCATATATTTCATCACTATGTGCAAATTTATTTGTTGTTTTTATGATATTTTTTAGACAAACAACAAACAAGCAAACAAACAAACAAAACAAACCAGCCAATCACAATCATTCAATCACCGACCAATCAACAATACAACCAACCAATCAAAAACTAGTTATTCAACCAACCAACCAATCATTCAAAAACTCAAAAACCTAACAACCGACCGACCGATGAAATCAAAAAAACAACCAACCAATCAAATTCAACAAAACAACCAACCGGCCAATCAAACTCAACAAAACAACCGACCGCAAATCGACAAATTGATGACGTCACACACAGGCGTTCGAGGTAATGCACACGTGGCTCGCGAATCATTTCATTGATTTTGAATCGAATGTCGACTTATTCAATCAGTTGGAATCCTTCCTTGGTGCACTGAGAGATAAAGTTCGTATATTCACCGCACTTATTCATGCTTATTGTCAATTATGGTTGTTTTTATTCTGGTTGTCGTTGTTGTTTTTGTAGTAGTAGTAGTAGCAGTAGTAGTAGTAGCAGTAGTAATGTATCAGTAGTAGTAGCAGTTGTAGTAGTAGTGGTAGTAGTAGCAGCAGCAGCAGTAGTAGTAGTATTAGTAGCAGTAGTAGTAGTAGATATTAATAATATCAAAGTTAACGCTTGGATTAATTGCACTCCCATCTTTCTGCTTCAATAAGCAAAAAATTTTAAGAACAATAAAATTTCCCGCCATTAATTAACGCGCCAAAAAAAAACAAAATAACGAAAAACTTTTTTCTGACATTTAATTTAATTTTTTTCCCACTACGGCTGATTAATTCTTCTTCCTTTCACCTATTCTGTGATTTTTATATTCACTTCTACTGCTGCTGCAGCTACTACTACTACTACTTACTACTACGACTACTACTACTACTACTACTACTACTACTACTACTGCTATTATTATTTGAAGTATTTATATTGCTACTACTGCCTTCAATAGTACTCATACTAAAATGTCACTACTACTGCTAATTTTACTGCTATTGCATCTGCATCTATTATCACCACTACTATCATTACTACTAGTAGTAAGATTAATAACGACAACAACAGCAGTACGATTATAATAGTAACAACAACAACAACAACAATAATAATAATAATAATAACAACAACCTCAACAGGAAGCCGACCACAACTTGACGACGCTTCACGCCATATGCAGTTGTAGCGCCCACATGCGACAGATCTTGCTCGTGCTCAAGAGTGAAGTTGAACCGCTGAACTTCGTGTTGTCCGGCGGTACTGATAGAGGGTCCGACATGATATTTGTTTGCGACGTCGTTAAGAATTCTCCTGCTGCTAAGTCTGGCCTGAGAATTGGCGATCAGGTACACGTTTTTCTCTCTTTCTCTCTCTCTCTTTCTCTCTCTCTCTCTCTCTCTTTCTTTTTCTCTTTTTCTCTCTGTCTTTTTTAATTGGTTCTCTCTCTTTTAAAATATTTTCATAGTAAATAATAATAATGTAATAATCAAATTAATTAATTTTTCATTTAAAATAATGTTTCGTGGCAGGTAATATCAGTGAACAACCAAAGTTTGGAAGGGCTGACGCTAAAGAGGGCTTATGACGTCATCCAGTCGACCAATCATCTCATGATTACCGTTAAATCTAATATCTTTGGTTTGTTTGGAATTTTTTAAATTCGCCATTATCATCATCGTCACAATCGTTATAATCATCTTCTTCATCCTAATCATCGCCACTCAACACCATCGTCGTCGTCATCGTCGTCATCAATTTCTCCTCTTCATATAGTTCTCCTGCTTATTCATTCTACTTTTAGCACTGGCTTGTTTCATTTAGTTTAATTCTTTCAAGATTTTATTTCAATGTTGATCAAACAGACTTTTTTCTTTCTAAAGGAAAGTTAATTAGGAGCGTTTCAAAGTAAATACATTTAATGAATTTTCTATGTTTGCTTGTAGGTCTCTTTCTCTTGTTTCTCTCTCTCTATCTTTCTCTCTCTCTTTCTCTCTCTCTATCTGCCTGTCTGGTTCATCTTTTTATCTATCTGTCTGTCCGTCTTTCTGTCTGTCCGTCCGTCCGTCCGTCCGTCCGTCCGTCCATCCATCCATCCATCCATCCATCCATCCATCCATCCATCCATCTATCTCTTTCTGTTTTTGCGGCTTTCAAACTTTCTCTTTTTTTTACTTTCTCTCTTTTTCTCTCTTTTTTTCCCTCTCTCTGTCTCTCTCTCTCTCTCTCTCCTCTCTCTTTCTCTCCGTTGAGTTTAAATAGCCGGGGTCATTCTAGTTGAATTTAGTTGAAACAGGCGGTTGAATTTGAAAGTATATTTTTTTTATTTTTCTTTTGTTATCTGCTGTGATTTATTAAAACTTTTAAATCATTTTATTTTCAAGATTTCGAAAAAATCAAGCGCAAATCCACACCCTCTGAATCTAACATACCGACGGCCTCAACCGCCATAACGTCAGCGACATCAACGACAACTTTTCACGCGCCTAACTCCACAAAAAACAGCAGCTATAGCGGCAGTAATGTCGCGAACATCAAACTGAATGAAATGATGACACCAACGGCAGCAGTAGTGCCGAATAGCTCAATTGGAAATGCTCAGCAAAAATATGACATCAATTCATCAGTGCTGCATAATCTGACGGCTGCGAGCCACCATCAATCTCCTCAGAAATCAAGCTCCCATTTGCAGCAACAGATCGAAATGTTGCAGAGACAACATCGCAACAAGCAACATCAACATCAGCAACACAGCAAACAACAACATAAGCAACAACATCAACAACAGCAGCCTTCGAAATTTTTTCAAAATTTCAAAATGTCTTTCAATAACGCAAACGAATTGAAGTAATTTCTCTAATTTTTCCAAGTTTTTTATTTTTCTTATTTTTTTTATTTCTCATTTTTATTTTCAATCTTTTTCTTCTCGCATCACGCTATAATAAAGTAAGATAACTGAATTATTTATAGACAGCCAATGTTTACGAGGCTTGATTCGTACATTAAAAAAATATTTCCCCCCTAGTTCTGATTCTATATTTAGCCTGAAAAACAATTCAACGTCCTCGTCATCAACGACTTCAATGGCGGCCTTGAACGATCAACAACTACTCTTTCATAACAATTTCTTTGATGCCAGTTCGAGATTATCTTCACTGACACTCAACAGCAGTGGCGGTCACAACAGCAGCGACCAAAACGCTAATAGTAGTAGTTGTAGTAGCGGTAGTAGTAATTGTGGTGGTGGTGGTAGCAGTCTGCAATCAAGCCACATAATGCCTATTGTCGTCTACAGATCCGATCAGTCTCACAAGCACTTTCTCGTTAAAAAGGTTTGTTTTGAATTTTTTTTTAAATTGTTTGTTAGTTTCATTTCTGCTTCTTATGTAAAATTTTTATGTTTTTTTTTTTATTTTTTTTTAATTAAGTAACTCTGACGGGCGTAGATTTTTTCGGCATATCATTTCTTACTTGGAATCAAACGTCTTCTCAACGATAACTAACCAGATACATGCATACAAATTTGTGTATTGAAAAAAAAATTTAAGAAAACATAGTGATAACAGAAATTATTATAAAACCTTATTTATATTAAAATAAATTAATTGAATTTTATTGATTAATTCGAAATAAGTAAATTATAGAGTAAGTAAAAAATCCAACTATAGAATACTAGAGCCGATGAAGTTATAGATATGTGCATCAAAGAGTTCGATCTGCCTGATATTAAAAGGTTTTTCGTTACGATATTTTTTTCCATTGGTTATTTTATTTTCATTTTGTTTTTTTACGAATTATTCGTAATAATAATAATAATTATTATTATTAATTATAATAATTATAATTAAAAGCCACCTATCATTGTGCCGAGTCTCGGTTGATGGCAGTGGTATCATGAAGACCAGGCAGCTGGCAAATCATTTGGATGACCTTAGTAAACTCCTCACCCTCAATTCAAGGTCGTTTATATTATTATTATTATTAATATTTTCATTATTATTAGTTGTAGTAGTAGTAGTAGTAGTAGTAGTAGTAGTAGTTGTGGTAGTAGTAGTAGTAGTAGTAGTAATAGTAGTAATGGTAGTAGTAATAGTAGTGGTAGTAAATTTTTTTTCTGCACATGTTTATTTATTACACTGAGAAATACTGAAGAAAGAATTGTAAAAAAATTAATAATAATAATAATAAAAATAATAACACTACTGACCACGCCCCCTCCCCAAAGGTTCTACCTAAGGGACAACCGCTCGACCGAACGGTTGACCCACCCCGACCTGGTCAGCATTCTCTCAGTGGAAGTTCACTTTTTACAACTGCCTTACATGGACGTGGCCTGCCATCTGACGAGCAGAGATATGGACATGTTCCGGTCAATTGACCCACTGGAGTACATAAATGACCTCTTTGAGCTGTCGGCCTCTTCTGCCAATAAGTTATCCACTTTTTCAGAGGTTTGTTTGTCCAGTGATATGGTAAATTCCTACAGGGATGCAAATACGAAAAAGTTCTCGACGGTTCTAGTTAATAAAAAATGTTATTGGCTTTCGACATGAGTATTTGATGGTTACTTCTTGATTTCTGCCTAGCGGTTGAGTATTAGCTGGATATTTTTTGAAATCTCTTCAAGAGTATATTGTTCAACATGAGCTATTTTAATTACAAATTAAGTTAATTTAATTACGAATTTTCTATAATTGGATTGAATATATTGTGAATAAATTATTATGTTAAAATATACAGTGTGGAAAGGTATGTAGGTGGTTGAATTCTTAATTGGTTTTGTTATTTTTTCACCTGTATGTGCAGATAGTGAACGAGGAGATGTTTTGGGTGATTACTGAGGTGTGTAGTGAACCTAACTCGCTGAAGAGATCAAAGATTATCAAACAATTCATCAAGATTGCTGGTTGGTTGGTTGGTTGGTTGGCTGGTTGGCTGGTTGGCTGGTTGGTTGGTTGATTGGTTGGTTGGCTAGTTGGTTGGTTGGTTGGCTAGTTGGTTGGTTGGCTGGTTAGTTGGCTTGGCTGGTTGGTTGGCTGGTTGGTTGGCTGGTCGGTTGGCTGGTTGGTTGGCTGGTTGGTTGGTTGGTTGGTTGGCTGGTTGGTTGGCTGGTTGGTTGGTTGGCTGGTTGGTTGGTTGGTTAGTTGACTGGTTGGTTGACTAGGTGGTTGGTTGGTTGGTTGGTTATCTAGCTTGCTGGCATTTCGTTTTGATGCTTATTGTAAATGTTGTTGCTATTTTTTTCGTTATTTGTTATCTAAATCAAATTAAAAAAATTTTTGACTTAGAGCGTTGCTACAAGCTGAAAAACTTCAACTCTATGTTTGCCATACTGAGTGGTTTGGGGCATGGATCGATATCCAGGCTGAAGTTGACCTGGGAGAAGGTGCCAGACAAGTATATCAAGTTGTTTGAGGTGGGGTTTTGTATATGTTTGTCGTTCATTCCTTCATTCATTCATCCATTTATCCATCCATCCATTCATCCAATCATTCATTCATTCCTTCATTCATTCATTCATTCTTTTATCCATCTATTCAATCATTTATCCATTCATTCATCCATCCATCCACCCAGGAGATGCAGGGTTTCATGGACCCATCCCGCAACATGCTGAAATACCGCAACCTCATACTCAATGCTACTCCGCCGATGGTCTGTTCATTCATCCATCCATTTTATCTATCCGTTTGTTCATTCAATTTCTTATCCCGTGCCTACCTCGTTATCTTCTAATATCATTACATATCTTACGGATTCAGCTGTTCGTCTGAACGGACGAGTGTCTGGAGACGAAAGATACGAAATAAGATATAGATAACACTGAGTTCTCTATTTCTTTTTGGATTGGTTGATTTTTGCAACATTATTCGTGATGTACGGACTCAACTGTTTTCATATCATGTCCTAACATAATATAAAACTTATTCCTCCTTTCTAGATCCCATTTTTCCCGCTCATAAAAAAAGATCTGACGTTCATACACTTCGGGAATGATTCTCGGGTGGATGGTTTGGTGAACTTTGATAAGTTGAGGATGATCGCCAAAGAGATTAGACTGATTAGTAAGATGGGTAGGCCTGCTGCTACTGCTACAAACGATGGTCACGTTTCAACGGTTGGTTGTTGTTGTTGTTGCTGATTGCAGTGTTGGTGTTGATTGAGATGTTGTTGTAGTCACAAACACATACAAACACAAAGACACAAGCACACACAAACACACGCTCACAGACAGCAAAATCATCAATGGAAAGTTTAATAAGTTCGGGTTCAAACTCCTCCCTACTCTCTGACCCCTCGACGACCCCAAACAAGAAACCGCACCATTTATTTTCGTCATCATCGTCTTCGTCATCATCCACTGTTATTACGTCATCATCGTCATCACATGCCATGTCAGCAAGTGCTAAGAAATTATACGAAGATGTGAGGGATATGTGCTGCATGTGATGATTGATGTTTATTTAATGGCGCGATGTTAATCTTTTTGGTTGATTAACTTGTTGATTGATTGGTTGATTGGCTGATTAGTTGGCAGGTTGGATGATCGGTTGACTGGCTGGCTGATTAGTTAAACTTTCTCCTAAGCTCTTTCTTTTGTTATCAATGAATGAACGAAATACTTAAATGCTCTGTGACATCTGACGACAAAATGCAAAAACGTTCTATATTTTAAATTGCCAACTTATGTTCATCTATCTGTAGTGACAATATCACCCTCATGATGAAAAATTATCCATCTCTATTTAATTATAAATAATTAGTAATAATTATAAACATAATTATAATTATTATTTCAATTATTTTGATCATAATTTAAATTCAGACTCATACATGGCGATTGGTGCACACGTACATAAGCAACATGCAGGTCATCTCCGATGAGAATAAACTCTCAGCTATGTCCGTAGCATGTGAAGGTAGAGGCATAATTTTTATTATTTTAAAATAATTTTTATTACAATTGTAATTATTGTGATTTTGTGTGTTTTTCGTAGTAAATATTGTAATTTTTTTAGTTGATTTTAATTCTTTTAGAAGGATTATTATGGATGAATGAAGAGATAATTTAATATAAACAATTGTATTGTTAAGCTTCATTGTGATATGGAAAGCAAGTTTGTATGTGAATAATTTCTGGTTTCCTTCTCTCTCTCTCTCTCTCTCTCTCTTTCGCTTTCTCTTTCGCTTTCTCTCTTTCTCTTTTTTTCTCTCGCTATCTCATTTCTTCATTCATTAGTATTAGAATTAATTCACATTTACTAATCTTTATTTTTGATACATTTCCGTTGCATCGCGCTGTATCATTTTCACGCCGCCTTCAATTATTCAGTTTTTAGTGTCATACATACTTACTTATTTGCGTTATTCATTATTTTATTTATTTGTTTATTTATTTGTTTATTTATTTGTTTATTTATTTGTTTATTTATTTGTTTATTTATTTGGTTATTTATTCATCAAATTTTAAGTCATTTATTTAAATTATAATATTTTTTATTCAACTCTATTCAAACTCAGGCGACTTAAATGTAATAGGGGAAATTTATTAATTGTTATGCAGGGAAATCTACGAAAAAATCTCACTCTCCTTTCACGCCAAACTTTTTGCTTACGTCATCAACTACGTCATCATCGTTATCATCAACATCGTCATCGTCATCATCATCGTCGCAAATTCCTCTGACCAGTGGCCCGAAATTTGGTTTGTCGAATGACGATACAGTTTTTGCTCATAATTTTTTTATAATTATTTTTAAATTAATTTTCTCTATTAATTTTTAAATGAATCAATTCGTTCGAGACGAGTTTTCATTATTAATGATTTTAAACGGCTAACACAATTTCATGAACACTTCAATCCGACTCGCATCTACCAGGTTCGAACTCGCCCTCGGCCGTTATGAAACTCATGTCCTTATCGGAGGCAACTAGATCAGCGAAAGTTCATCCAGTGGTTAACCACCATCATCACAACAACAACAACAATAATAATAAAAATACTGCCACTACTACTTGTAATAATAATAATAATAATAGTAATGATAATATGTCGACAGTGGCTAAAACCGTTTCTAGTGCACACAGTAAACTTCAAAACATTCCTACTATGACAGTGACGTCATCGTCGTCGTCATCAAACACAGCATCATCTTCTTCATCCTCATCATCATTTATTGCCACGTCATTATCATCATTTTCGAGATCGCCAGCAAGCAACAAATTATCGTCGTCGTCATTATTGGTTTTTAGGACCGAAACTGCTCCCTTGAAAAGTGTCAAGGTCAATGTCAAGCTCCCACCTCTGACCTTGACATCGGAGAGTTCATCCGTGACTGTTCATACTCCGAGGAAATTTCTCGGTATGAAGAAAGAAATATTTTCTCCATAGTCTTTTTCCATACTTTAAATTATTTTGCCCTTTATGTGAACGTTTTAAAATTTATTGAAATGATATTAATGTTATGATCGACAGCGGCACGCACACACACACACACCACACACATACCACACACACACACACACACGCGCGCGCGTAAAACATAAATTTTTAACTTTCTCAAATTTCATTCACCCAGCATTTGGCGGCGACAAAAAGATGAAAGAATTTAGCAACGCTGTAACCAGCAACTCCAAACAGCAGCAACAACAGCTGCAACAGCAACCACAACAGCAGCAGCAGCAAGTTATAAATAAACTTGCAGCGTTCGTTTCTACAACATCTAACAACAACATACCGACGAAAATCGCAACATCATCGTCGTCGTCTTTAGCATCAGCAACGCCATGTTCTCCCTCATCATTATCATCATCGTCGTCGTCATCATCATCAATGATTTCATCCACACCATCATCATCTTCGTCATTCTTTTCAGTTTTCTCTCCGTCACTATTATCGTCATCATCGTCATTAACTTCATCATCATCATTAACATCATCATCATCATTAACATCATCTTCATTAACATCATCATCAGTAGCAGCAGCAGCAGCAGCAGTAGTGGCAGTAGCCACAACGACGACAGCAGCAACGCCACTACTACAAAAATCATGTTACAGATCGTCATTATCGTCAGGGATCTACTCAATGGCCTCTGCTTCATCACTCCATCACTACGATGACGACAACTCGAAAACTTGCTCACGTGACGACGATGATGATGATGATCATTATCATCGTCACAATCATCATCACCATCATTATCGTAATGGTGACGATGACGACGACGATGATGATGGGAAAATGGCGGGAAGTTATGATATTGATGATGATGACGATGATGATTATTATCATTTCTGTCAGAGGAACTTACAACTTATGGCATATAACGATAAGAATGATGATGACGAAGGTGACGATTTCGATTATACTATTTCATAATTTTTGAAAAGTAATTTATGTTTTAGTAAATAATAATAATAATTATTCTTATTATTATTATTATTATTATTATTATTATGTTTATTATAAAATATTATATATAATTATTATTGGTATAAAAAAGTTTCCATTATTTTAAATAGATTAACATACTTCGTTAAATATTCATTTCATCACGTTGTACAGGTAAGTCTAACTCATCAACTTTAGAGTATCAACAGCAACAACAACAACAACATCAACAGCTGCAACAACAACAACAGCCAATACATCAACAACAACATCAGCTAATATATCAACAACAAATACATCAATCACATCAACAAACGCATCAACAACTACAACAGCCACAACATAATGTTTTTCCGCAACAATACTTTTGTCAACAGCAGCAACAACAACATGAATCTAATCTTATGTTGGAACCAGACCAACAAAAACATCAACAACTACATCTGCTACAACATCAACAACATCAACAACAACATCAACAACAACATCCATCATCTGCCATACAAAATCAACTATTACCTCAACAAAGGCACAAGAACTATTGTTCCTACCTCAGTAACAACAACAACAACAAAAACAACATCAAAAATTATAACAATAATTACATTATTAATAATTACAACAGTGATCACTTTATAGGCGAACGTGTATACCATGTTGATGATGGTGCAATAGTATCTCAAAACAACAACAACAACATCAACAACAACAACACTAACAACATCAACAACAACAGCACAAAAAACTCGAAGACAACATCGGCATCGTTTCGACATTCAGATCATTGCTGTTGTTCCATCTGTTTCCAACTCTCCTACAAGCAGGCTCTCAAACAGCGCTACCAACGACAAATTAGTTATCTAGAGTCGGTCACACTTGAAAGGAATTGCTCATTTTGTTCTACCGTCAACCACATTAACAACAACAACAACATCAGCAACGTTAACAACAACATTAATAGCCAATGTATGAGATGCTTTCCTTACAACAGCAACAGTAGCGGCAGCTATCGTAACAACAACAAGCATTTTAACTGCTACGATTGTTGTTCTGCATGCTATCAATCATTACCACAGCAGCAACAACAGCAACCAAACAACTACACTGCTTACTACAACCCGCTACACCTGCAACAACTTCAACAACGACAGCCGAAAGTTTACATGCAGAAAAATTTGAACCGACCACCCAGCGAGGAAATAGTTTGTCAGAAGTTTTATCAAAGATCAACTAATAACACGCCAGTTCCATCCCCAACTAACAAACAAAACCAAATGTCGCAGATCTGTTACTACAACAAAAACAACAACAACATTAGCAGTAGCAACAACATCAGTAACAGTACCTATACTATGCCTGAGATACCACACAAAATTTCTGAAAAAGTTTTATCAAATGCCATGTACATCCCCACCGATTTAAATGACGTCATTCTTGTACGTCAGTTGCAGCAACAGATGCTTCGTGATCAACGAGCACGTAATCTTCAAATGATCCCAAATCTACCGGATTCGAATGCACGCTGTTCCCAAGGGATTCTACGTTTTTATCATCAACAACAGCAACAACAACAGCAGCAAGTAACTGAGATTTCAAGATATCCGCAACTACAACAACTGCAACAACTACAACAACTGCAACAACAACATCAACAACTGCTACAACAACAACGACGT